GTTATTTTGTTGAAACCCAATTTTTCTTTTTCTTTCTTTTTTTTTCTCTCTTATGTTCCTCATGCTCATGGTGTTGTCTTTAAGAGCCCATTGCTAAATTCAAGTTCTTTAAGAGTTGCCCCTATGTTTCCTTCTAAAAGTTTCATTGTTATAATCTATGTGTTCTTTAGTGGGGGAATATATGTTGAATTTAGCATTGGAAATGGCTGCTTAAATGAAAGTAATGCATTTTTAAATTTTTCTACCAATTTTTCTGACTCAAATCAATGTCTCCTATCAGTGATGTTATGGGATGTGCCACCCTGGAAACAATTATCTTCTTCAGATGCAAGTGGGGACCCTGAGAAAATCTAGGTTCCTTTGTTCTTATAACTTTACTTTGTTCACTGGGCACATGTTGAGACCAACAGACCTGATTCTCAACAACTAGTCTTAGCTCCTTGATTCTTTTCTGTAGGGGACCCCCACAAACAATGTCAAATTTAGATGTTGTAAACTTCAATTTTCACCAAGTAGGCAGGAGCAATTTCCTTAGCATTATCTACTAAAGCATCAACTTCATTTTAGTATGTCAAGGAAGGTAGTTTAGAATTCAATCCCCCAAATTCATGGTCTTCGGCTGTTTCCTCGGCTGGATTTTGAATTTCTTGGTAAGTGTCAAAATTCCTTTGAAAGTGACTGACCCAAGAAATAGTGTGAGTGTAAATACAAATTATGGATACTGTCCATGTTGAACACAACCACTGGTCGTGCAGGCAGGAAGATAACAGTTATTGCTTCCCAGTTATGAATGCTTGCTGAGTGATACAGTGTGGTGTGAAGTGCCCTTTTGGTTTTTGTAGCTTTGGGGAACATCCAATTAATAGCTTTAAATGTTTCTGGTGGTTTAAGTGCTCAGCTGCGAACCAAAAAGCTGGCTGTTGGAACCCACTCAGTAGCCTCACCAGAAAAGACCTACTGATCTGCTCTAGTCAAAATGCCAACCTTGGAAACCCTACAAGGGCTGTTCTACCTCATCACATGTGCTCCTCATGAATCAGAAGCCACTCTATTACATACAGGAAAAAGAGCTCTGGTAGGTAGTGGGTTACGAGTTGGGTTGCTAACTACAAGGTCAACAGTTTGAATCTACCAGCAGCTCCACAAGTAAGATGAGGCTTTCTGCTCCGGAGATTGACAACCTGGGAAGTCTTAAACAGGATCGCTATGAGTCAAAAACACTATCACATGCGTGGAATTTGAGAGCGGGTCCTTTAAGGTCGAGAAGCCCCGTCCTCTTCCTCAGAGACAGGGTAGTCACTTTCCATCGACTCTCTCAAGGATACTTAAGTTCTTCGGTTGGAACTACACTACCCAGAAGCCTCTGCGAAGCGCGGCCACGCTGAACCAATGAACGCTGAAGAGAGGAGTGTGCGTACGGAAGACATCTGGGCGGGACTTCCAGTGTTGTCCTTGCGGCGGACATTTTGTCTGCTCAGGGATGCGGCCCACCGAGCAAATTCTCTGAAGCGTTTTATGGGCCCGAAGTGACAGAATCGGAAAGGCGCGGGAGGAGTCGTTGTCCCCACTGCGCTGAGGCGGGTCCGAGGCTCGACACTGACCTCACTTCCGGGGACGGCTGTTCCTGCCACCACAGGCAGCCGTCGTGGCGATGGACCCGGCGCAGGTGGGTGCCTCGCCTCCCAGGACCTCCTTTTATAATGAATCCCAAAAGTTTCAAGTGAAGGGCACGTGCTCGGAGTACAGGACTACGGGGTGTTCGTGGGTGGGGTCTACGTTTCCCGCGGGCCAGGGAGAGCCGGGGAGACCCGGAGCGGCCCTCACGGCTGCCCCAGGGAGATCGCGGTCCTCCCCAGACGACCACATACAGCCAGGATGGCAGCAGTGACTCAGGACTGTGGGGTTCCCAGTGCAGCTCAGTTAGGGGCCCCTGGGTGGAGCCTAGTACCAGGGGTTCCGAGGAGCAGGCAGGAGCATTAGGATCAACGTAGACCACCCTGCGAGCACTTCCTGTTGGGAAAAGGGCCCCAGCGCTGTAGTTTGTAAAGACGCAGTGTCTGCAAAGCGCCATCGTAGGAGGTACGCTCGCCCCTGTTTTCCGGGAGCTGGGAGACAGGGAGGATGAGGACCACCAGACAAGGGTGCTCTCCGAGGGTGTCCGCCCAGAAGAGAGGTCCCAGGGCCCGGCCTGCGCCTGCGCGAGCCTGGGAGAAGCGGACCCCCGAGCTGTAGGGTGCCGCGGGCTCTTTGCTCCCCCGGATGCTCTTACCCTCGCTTTTGGACCGTCTGTTCTTAAAAAACAATCACGAAAGCGCCTCCAATTCCGGGTGGACTTGGTTTTATTGTGCCTCGCTTTGGGGCACCTCACAGACACTGCATTTCTTACAGATTGAAGGCTTGCATCTGGCATGGGACAAGTCTTGTCATTTTTCTCAACTGCTGATTTCTTGTCCTTGTGTCATATTTTGGTAATTCTCTCAATAGCTCAAGAGTTTTTCCTAATGCTGAATGGACTATCAACATTCTTAATAGATTGTTTATTGTTGTCGTTAATTGCAATTGAGTTCAGTTCGGACCCATAGCGACCCTACATAGGGTTTTCAAGGAGCAGCTGGTGAGCTTGAACCGTTGACCTTGCAGTTGAACCAACCTTGAAGTCCAGCGCGTTAACCCGCAGCGCCACACCAGGACTCCACTAGATTGTGGTATCATATAAATACAGCTTTTATGTACACTGGATATCCCCAAAATTTGTATGCCTCACTTTATTGTGATATTTGCTTTATTATGGTAGTCTGGATCCTCAGCATCCCTGAGGTATGCCTCACTCATTCTTGGCCAAAGCCACATAATACAGCAAATGCTATGCAAGCTTGTCCCAGCATAGTATATGTTCCCTGTCAACCTGACTCAGCATGTCATTCCAAAAGATTCCTCTAATGTATGTAAGTTGTCCCGGCACAGGAAGTGTTTCTGCTCACACTCTCTAGGTGGTATTCAATTCCATGCCTGGAAACTCCAGGTATGCAGAGTGGCACTGTTCATAGGGCTTTTGAGGCTATGATCTTTCAGAAGAAAATGTCAGGCTTTTCTGGGTGGGTCTGAACCACCAACCTTATAGTTAGTAGTCCAACACTTACCCACCTAGGGACTCACACTGCTTATATACTGTTCTTTTTGTTTTCAGCCCATGCTGAGGTTTTGTTTTTTTTTAATGAGTTACAAAACATGCTACCAGATAAGAAACTTCACTTTGTCCATATTCCTGGGTGATTCTCACTGCCTCTATCAAATTGAGTTAATGAGAATATTTTACTGATGTCTCAAGGATTTAATTGTAGGCGATGAATGGATTTATTTTCTGTGAATTTGAACTGGTACTAAGTATCTACCAGTTTCTTTGGGATATTTACGATAATATCCACTGAAGCCACTTCCTGAAGGAACTAATTCTCTCCTGAAGCTGAAGCTGAAGCTCTGTTGGAGAAAGGCTGCCCTATCAGATGAAGTTACATGTGTTCACGGACAGTAGAAGGATTGATGCTTCTGAGTTAGGGTGTCGGAGGAAAATACTGAAAGTGCCATGGACTGCCAAAAGAACCAATAGATCCGTTTTGGAAGAAGTGCAGCCAGAGGAGAGCTCCTTGGAGGCCAGGATGGCCACACATTGTCTCTTATACTTCAGACATATTGTCAGGAGGGACCAGTTGCTGGAGAAGGATATCATGTTTGGTAAGGTGGAGGGTCAGAGAAAAGGAGGAAGACCCCCAGTGAGATGGATTGGCCAAGTGGCATCATCGATTGGCTCAAGCGTGGTAACAATTGTGAGGTTGGCCCAGGATTGGGCAGTGTTTCGTTCTGTTGTACATAGGGTCGCTATGAGTCGGTACCAACTCGATGGCACCCAACAACAACAACATGGACAATTTGGAAGCCATATACTGTGGCTTCCTTTTTGGCCAGGTGTTACTTTCTGGTCAACTCCCAGTCCTGGTGATCCCATGTACATAGAGCAAAACTGCGCCATCGGGTTTTCAGAGACTGTCAGTCCTGGCTCCTGAAAAGCCTCTGGGTGGGTTTGAACTGCTGACTGTTTGGGTAGTAGTCAGTCTAGTGCTTGACCCTTTGGGCCTCCCAGGAGCTCTGCTGCTGCTGCAGTGTACCAAGTGGGTTCCAACTCATAGCGACCATATATGGGGTTTCCGTGGAGCGGCTGCTGAGTTTGAACTGCCAACCTGGCACTTCAAACCAACCTTGAAGTCCAGCACATGTCCTTTGGTTCCGATTTTCCCAGCACAGTATGGTGTTTGCTTTCTTGACTATTGATACCATGGGTGTTGATTGTGGGTCCAAGTTAAATGAAATTTACTCCTTTGTATCATGATGTTGCTTCTTGATCCAGTTGTGAGAATTTTTGTTTTTTTTATGTTGTGGTACTTTTGAGAAGCCAGTAAATACCTGGGGCTACTGATAAAGACTGCCCCCGAAGAGGCCATGCCCTGATTTGAATTTCTAGCCTCCCAAACTATGAGACAATACATTTTGTTTAAAGCTACCAACTTTTGGTATTTTTTGTATGGCAGCACTAGATAACTAATAGTGAGTCAAAAGAAGCAAATAGTGAGTCAAAAGGAGATGGTAACCCAAGGATTAGGTTTTAGCAGCTAGAAGTCTGGAAATAACATTAGCTTAGATTGGGAGATCCGTTTTAAGAGTTATTTTCAGATAGGTGGAGATAGAATGCAACTGAAGGGGACAGCATGTTTGTGGTAGGCAGAATAATGGCCTCCCAAATATGTCCATGTGAACTTACAGTAAAAAGAATTTGCAGATGTGATTCAGCTTAAGGACTGAGATGGAAAGGTTATTCTGGGTTATCCTGTGGGCCTGGTATGAATACAAAGGTACTTCTAAGAGTAAGACAGGAGGGTCCGAGCCCCAGACAAGGAGATTAGACAAAGAGAGCAGAAGTCAAAATGATGTGACGCTTGGTTTAGAAGATGAAGGTAAGTCCTGAAGTCAAGAAGTGCAGGTGACCTCTAGAAGCTGAAAAAGGCAAGGAAAAGAATCCTCTTCTCCCCTGGAAGCTCCAGAAGGAATATAGTCCTGTCAATACTTTGATTTTAGCACAGTGAAACCCATTTTGGATGATGACATCCATATTTTAAGCCACAAGGTTAGTAATTTGTATTAGGAACTGAATACAGTATGCAATAAAGAAATGGAAGAGGGCAGATATCTCCATGTGGTTCTAGGTACTTGTGATTGAAGCAAGGAACCAGGCCAAGTAGGGAAGCTTTCAAATCAGGAATAGGGGGTTGTCTTTGGCAGCCGGGGCCACTGGTGGTCACAACAGAATGGGATCCTGGTCGCATTGCCAGGCATTTTCTGGGTGCTGTGTGCAGAGTAACATAGGGGAGTGTAGAGAGGTGTGTACAGCGTGGACCAGAAAGATGGTGGTAGGGAGCCAGAGAGGAAAGGGACGTGTGAAACAGAGTCAACAGTGCCTGAGAGGACGGAGTGGGAGTGGGAAATAACAGTCCTAGGGCTGTGTTACCAGAGGGCGCCCAGGTCTGTGCTTGCGAAGCAGGATCTGGGGTACTACACAGTAACGGGCTGGCAGGAGAGGGCTGGGGTTCTGCCCCAGTTAGAGCTTAGATGGCATTTATCTGCTTCTTGTGAGTGTAGCTGACACAGAGATCATGGAGTAGTGAGAGTGTGGGCCCAGCGGGATCTCCTCTGACTTGGGGAAGTGTCTGAGAGGGTGTTGTAATTGGTAAATACATTGTGGGGTGTGGGAGGCAGGGTCCTTACTTGGGGAAGTGACTGAGAGGGTGTTGTAATTGGTGAATACTTTGTGGGGCGTGGGAGGCAGGGTCCTTACTTGGGGAAGTGACTGAGAGGGTGTTCTAATTGGTGAATACATTGTGGGGCGTAGGAGGAAGGGTCCTTACTTGGGGAAGTAACTGAGAAGGTGTTGTAATTGGTGAATACATTGTGGGGCGTGGGAGGAAGGGTCCTTGGACAGAAGACTTTCCATGGACATTGCTGTCCCCATTACAGGTCTCCGTTATCTTTGAGGATGTGTTCCTGTACTTCTCTCAGGGGGAATGGAGGCTGCTTGATGAGTCTCAGAGACTCCTGTACCGAGATGTGATGCTGGACAACTTTGCACTTATAGCCTCACTGGGTAAGGCCCACATCCCCATCACAACGATGATCCCAGCATCCTTTTTCCCAAGAACCGCTCTGTCCTTGGTATAGTTTCATCAGTTTCCCCAACCAGGTGTTTCACTGACCAGGCTGAATGGTGCGGAGCACCCTTACCACTCAGTGAGCATTGCTGAAGTCTTGTAGTCAAGGGCTTGTAGAGTTGCAGTCTTCCCAATAGATCCCATTTGGCTTGAGCATTTTCTGGGTTGGTGAATCTGTCCAGAACCATGTTCTCCAGTTTTGACCTTCTTTTAGGTCTCTGGGTGCCTTGTTCAATTGCAGACACTGGCGTGGTCACTCTTTGCAGGGGAGCATTTTGCTATCCTACAAAACCTTCCTTTGACGCTTTTTGGGCACTAATCTGTTACAGCAGTGGTTACCCTGGGTCCATGCTGACCACTCATGTATCCTGTCCTCTTAGGAATCAGCCAGCTGGTGCATGGGGAAGAGCCTAGGGTGCCAGGCCCGACAAGAAAGGCCCAAAGAGAACCTGGTCCTGGTGAGTGGATGCCGTTGAAGAGCACGGTGTTAACAATGAATGTTCACACCTGAATTTGGTTCTGAGGCCTGTGGCCACATTACCTCTCTACCTCTCCGTCCCCATTCGTGACACTTTGTGACATCATGTCCAGTCTTCCTTTAGGTCCCTGGCCAGGCCCCCCGTCCCTAGCCTCTCCCTCTTCCCACGTCTCTGCATGAGGCAGTCTGCAGTGCTCTCCAACACTGGCCTGCACTTAGTGTATCGTGATCCTCCTGGGCAGGGACATACCTACTTACACAGGACTCACCTGTCCCCACCATTCAAGGCCCTGAAAGCCGTTGGCTAAAGAGCGAGCTGGAGACCTTGCTGAAGCGCCCTTGCCCTCCGGAGCCTCCACTCCATTTGTGAGCTTCACTGCTCTGATTGGTGCTGCTCTGCAGCCCTTTCCTCGGCCTCAGCCCTTGTTCATCATCAGTGTATGATGGAATTGCCCCTTCTTACCAAAGTCAACATGAACGTCACCAGCATTTCTCTCCTTTCAGGCTGTTTGTGTGCAGTGGAGAAGGAGGAGGCACCTTCTGAGCAGAATGTCTCTGTAGAAGGAACGTCACTGCTTAGGACTCCTATAGCATTTCTTTCTACTCAGAAGAGTCACCAATGCGACATAGACAGTTCAGTAGTGAAAGAGATTTTGCCCCTGGCTGAAAACTCAGGGAGCAAAGCCCAGCCAAAACCACACCAGAAGCAATTGTTGTTCAGTGCAAACCTTTCCCAGAATCAGAAGCAGCACAGTGGAGATAAACCTTTCAGAAGGGATGAGGGTGGAGACTCCAGGAAGAACTGCAGAGTCTACATGCCTGAGGAAATCTACACATACAAGGAAGATGTCAAAGACTTTGTGATCACCTCTGGGCTGCTTCGGCAGGAGGCTGAGTGTGAGAGCTCGGAGTGTGAGGGCACCGTTTGCACTGGACAGAGACATTGCAGGTGCAGCAAATGCAGGAAAGCCTTCAGCCCCAATAGCTCACTTGCTCAGTACCTGAGAAATCAGACCCTAGCTACATCTTATGAATGCAGTGACTGTGGGAAATTCTTTAGCTGTAATTCCAATCTCATCCGACACCAGAAAGTCCATACAGGATCCAGGCCTTATGTATGCATGAAATGTGGAAAAGCCTTCCACTGCAAAGACACACTCATTCGGCACCAGAGAGTCCACACTGGAGAAAGGCCTTATGAGTGCAGTGAATGTGGGAAATTCTTTAACCAAAGTTCTGACCTCTTTAAACACCAGACAGTCCACACTGGAGAAAGGCCTTATGAGTGCAGTGAATGTGGGACATTATTTAACCAAAGCTCTGACCTCTTTAAACATCAGACAGTCCACACGGGTGAAAGGCCTTATGAATGCAGTCGATGTGGGAAATTGTTTAGACAAATCTCCGGCCTTATCGAGCACAGGAGAGTTCATACTAGTGAAAGGCACCATCAGTGCGCTAAATGTGGGAAATTTTTTAGTAGCAAGTCTAATGTTATTCGACATCAGGAAGTTCACACAGGAGCTAGGCCCTATGTCTGCAATGAATGTGGAAAAGAGTTCAACCGCAAGTACACACTTATTCTGCACCAGAGAATTCACACTGGAGAAAAGCCTTATGTGTGCAGTGAATGTGGGAAGGCCTTCAGTCAAAGCTCCCACCTGATTGTGCACTGGAAAACGCATGGCAGTGACTATGAGTGTAGGAAATGTGGGAGAGCCTTTAGCTGCACCTCCAAACTCATCCAGCACCAGAAAGTTCACTCTGGAGAAAAGCCGTATGAGTGCAACAAGTGTGGGAAGGCCTTCACCCAAAGGCCAAACCTTATTCGGCACTGGAAAATTCACAGTGGAGAAAGGTCTAATGTGTGCAGGGAGTGTGGAGAAGACTTCATCCGTAAACACACACTTGTTCTGCACCAGAAAATTCACTCAGAAGACAATACTTAAGTACAGTGAATGTGGAAAATCATTCTGCCTAAGCAGCTGCCTGGAGCAAGGCTTAGCAATGCTGTCTCCTTGTTCAATCTAACAAGTCTCCCAAATAGAGTGACTCTCTGAGAGGAGTATTTGTCAGAAGTGGAACTTCATATGTGAACATGCACACTGAGGAGATGACCTGTGAGTACCAAGCATGCGAGATGCTCTCAGAAGCTCATTTGCACTTTCTAAACCATCCAGGGATTTTGCCAGGGTTTTGTGACTGCAAGTATCCATAGCAGATACCATTCCATCATTCCCATTGGGCAAGTTGCACAGTGTGTTTCAGTCAAGACAGGCAGAATCCTGTGTTCTCTCCCCAGTCCTAGAAGAAGCCAGAGACTTCATAGCTACTTGAGAAGCATCCTTTCCTCTCTTCTGTCTGGTTTTGGCATAGAAATAATCAGATTTATCCCAGAGGATACAAAATAGGATCTACAGGGAGCTTGTAGAGGTTTACCATCTTCATAGACATTTTTAGTTCTTTGTAATGTTTACCATGGATTCCTGGGTGGCACTGTAGGGTAAGCACTAGACTGTTAACCACATGGTCAGTGGTTCAAACCCACTAGCTGCTCCTGGGAAACCCTGTACAGGGTCACTATGAATTGGAACCGACTTGACAGTATTTAACAACAGCAGTGCTTATTGTGGGTGTATCCAGGTTTGAAGTCACACAGCCCGGGAACTATCAGCCTCCCATTGGTTTTGGTGCTATAATAAAGGTTTACTTAAGCTATCTTTAATCTTGTAGGTTCTGCTCATTATATGAAGTGTGCTGCAGACAGAATTGTGTTTGCCAACTTTTGTGAGAGTCCTCAATAGTCTATGCCTCAGAGGGGATGCTTAGTTGTTGTTGTTGTTTTCCTGTTTTTCAAGTATAGTTTTATTTTCTAATACTATCAGTACAAGCTAAGACATTCTAATACTTTTAAAAACTAAGTATAACCTAACAGGGAGCTGTTTGGATTTGACTTCTTTTTAACCCCCACTCAGGCATCTATAATAAATTACATCTCCAAAGGGCACATTCTGCAAGTCTGCTCCTGGCCACCAGCTCTTAGTCCTTCTCTTCTTAGTTGATGAATCTAGAGTCCTC